AGGAATTCAAATCCTAATTGTAGGGAATATTTCAAGCATTATCCCTAGCTTGAACCCCACTGTGATCATACACTAAAGTACGGTGGCGTCCAAAGGGAAAGAAGATAGATCAAAAGAGTCGCCAACAAGTTTTAGGAACTTGTAAACCGTTCACGAGGTGAAGGTTACACCCCTTAACGATCCAGGAGATCGTCAACTCCAATAGGTCTGGAACCATGACTGGTAGTTCGGGGATGAAGGTACAAATCCAACCTAAAAGAGATTGAACCTGCCCTAATAATAGGCCTCTACTTTATTCTTCTCGTATTCATGTGCGCTTTTTGACTAGCATGCAATCAACAGGTTTAACCCTAGACCTGTTTATCCATGTTGGTTGAATATTAATGCACAAATAAATCTATTATTGGCGATCACTTTAATTATAATCAAATTAACCCTAAACAAGATTATTAATTATCTTATTTAGCATGATTACAAGTACCAATTCCCTTTAAACATGCATAAAAGGCGTGATCAAGCAATAACAATCAATATCAAGCAACATAATAATCATTATAACCATAAATTATAACAATTATAATCATAATTAAAATAATCATGTTAAAGCATAATAATAGCAAGACCCTAGGCATGATACTAACAAGATCAATAACAAAACCTAGCATGTTACTAAGCAATAAAAATCAAAGCATTAACCCTAACATTATACTAGCATGCTATTAGGAAGAAAATAGGAAGCATCGCTGGAAACACAATTGTCATATTTGATATTAGAAATTATAGTTGTTACCCTAAACATAATACTAGGAAGATCAAAACGCCCTAACATGACACTAGGAATCATAATAACAACCTAAACATGATTTCTATATCATAACATCAATAAATCAATTAAAGTACTTACTTGGATGCCTCATATCTCTTTCTAATAACAAAATACACGAGTTAGTAACTTCAAAGAAAATAATAAAACAAAACAATTAAATTAAATAATTGAAATAGAGATTTGGGACCAAACCCTCAGAAATTAAAACCTTTCACGTCTAGGCGAAGGCAACTTTGAATTGTGCTAGGTGTGTCTAGATCGTATGAATGCGGAATTTTGTATGCAAAAGGGTTGGTTTAGAATAAGATAGAGAATAAGCTTTAGCTTAGAGAGAGAAGAGAATTGAAAACTAGAGAGTTGGTGATTGAAAACGGAGGTTTTAGGAAGCTATTTATAGAGAAAATCAGCCAAACGGATAGAAAAACAAATCAGAGTTTCGACGAGGATAAAACAGGTTAGCGCTAGACGCTAAACATTAGAGTCAGGCACTAAGGCTAGCGCCAGGCGCCAAGCATTAGCGCCAGACGCTAATCCCTGTCGTCAAGCGCTAACAATTATTTTCACGTGTTTTCTTAATTCTAATAAAATTTAACCGTACAGAAGGGCAAAATCGTATTTTCCTTAAAAACACTCTTTTATTCTGATTAAAACTCTAAAAAGTCAACCAAAGTCAATTTAACAATGCTAATTGAATTAGGAATGAAAAGAACCTTCTAGAAGAATCTAGAAGACTAAAATCAATTTTAATTGCATTAGGAATGATAAATCAATATAAGGCCCTCCTCTAGATCATTGGGCCGCACATAAGTATCAAATCGGGCCTAGTTTAGTAATTTGGTCATAACTTCCTCATTATTCATCGGAATTGGGCTTATAATATATCGTTGAAAAGCTCTTTTCAAGCCCCATCCAACAAAACCATTATTGGACCCTTGCTATGGACCAAACCAAACTGGATTAGCTGTTTTCTTAAATTAGGTTTTCAAAAACAGAGAGAAGAGAAAAGAAATTAAAACTATCCGCAACACTAGACTTTCCACACTTTCACTTCATTCGATTATGATTCAACGCAAAAGGTACTCATCACCGGTTTTGGTTTTGGGGAGACACAAATGGGTGTCTACAGAAGCCCCCACTTTGACTGAGTTTAGAGAAACGCAAGTTTCGAAAACAAAAGTCAAACTAGCGATAGGGATGGAGAATGATTCAGAACGTTCTGCGATCCTAAATCACTCTTGTAACGCCGATACCTGCAAAATAGCATTAGTTAAAACAGATAAGAGAGTTAAGGAACGCGTATATTGCACCGTCGAGCACACGTCTCTAGAATTAACCGATTTGTTGCTGCATTGTTGTTGTTGTGATAACCTTCCGCAAGCTAGGGAACATCATCCCTCTGTTTGTTGTGACGACCTCCTGCAAGCTAGAGAATGCCGCCTGAAGACTGCTACGCTTGTAACTGCCTCCAATTCTGTCGTGATAGACTTCTGCAAGCTAGAGAACCCCATCGAAGATTGCTTCGCTTGAAACCACCTTCTAGCGCTTTGTGACCATCTTCCGCAAGCCAGGGAACACGATCGAAGATAATTCGTTTGAAATCACCTCCAGTTGTTTGTGACAACTCTCCGCAAGCTAGGGAAAGCTGCCAAAGATATCCTCGCCTGAAGCTACCCTCATTTGTTGCGATAATATTCCGAGGAAAATTACCGAAGACCAACGCTTGTCGATCTTTAAAAACTCGCTTGAACTTTTCTTCCACTATGCTAGTACGTTGGCGCTTTGCTGCTTGTGAACCAATATGTTGGTGCTGTTGCTATGATGACAATCCTCTTTTCTTTGGGAATCGTTGCCAACACAACTCTTGTATGATGTATGACAATCCGATTTAGGGAAAGTTGTCAATGCTACGTAACAATCCATCCTTGGAAATGTTGCCACGATGAAGCGACAATCCGTATCTCGGAAAATTTGCCAAAATCCATTTTTGGGAAAAGTTGCCAATGCTCCGTAACAATCTGTCATAAGAATTTTGCTACGATCGACAATCCAAATCTTGGAATATAAATCTTGAAAGCAATCCACCTTGGAAATTTGCCAATGCTATGTGGAAATCATTTTAGGAAAATATTGCTATAAATGACAATCTACGTCTTGGAACATTTGCGAAAAAGAGTCGACCGACAATCCTACTTCGGGAAAATTTGCCACTTACTGAAATGAATGACAATCCATGTTGAGGAACCTTTGCCGAAATTTATGATGAGTGGAGACCTACGACAATCCTTTGGGAAATTTTTGTCATAGGGAACTATGTGTATGACAATCCAATCTCGGAAAACTTGCCAAAGATCAATGAATGTATGACAATCCGAACTTGGAATAACTTGCCAAACAAAGAAGAAGCACGACAATCCACGCTTGGAAACTTTGCCAGAGATGACAATCCAATCTTGGAAAAATTGTCGTTGAAGAATATGCGCGACAATCCATATTTTGGAAATGTTTTCAGTTGGAGATGACAATCCAATCTTGGAAAAATTGTCGTATAAGTGATGTGCTTGCTTTTGAACTAATGCCTTGGTGCTTGTAATGAGCTAGTGCTTAGGCGCTTAAGCTAAGTGAGACGATTTTTTGTTAGGTCAATCACTTACTACGATTGTAATCGAGCCGACTACTAATCATGTCAATTTTCTTACAGGGGCTAACTGGCGTACCAAGGAACCCGAAATTGTCGTATGAGATCGAAATAACCGTTCTAAGAGGCTTCGAGCTCTGTCGCTGCTGAAATATCGCTGGCGCCAAGAATTGGCTCTGTCGCCAGACGCTAGGATCTAGTCCCAGGCGCTGGGATCTAGCGCCAGGCGCTGAACTCTGTCGCCAGACAACAGATGTTTTCGCCAGGCGACAGCCTTGTCGTCTGGCGCCAGAGTCGGGTCTTCCCTATTCTGCTCTTGCTGCCGCTGTTGCTTGGTTTTACTCCGAACTTTGTGCTTGGTCGTTTCCTTTCAACCAAATCCGCTCAAATATTTTCACTACAAAAAAAATGAGAATAGGCAACGCACTAAATTGCAACAAAATAACAAATGTTGTCTTTTGTAGGAAAAGGCAACAACACTTGGTTGTTACCTTCATCATAACAATCTATAGTACATATTATAATGCAACGGTTTCAGAAGTGTTGCTTTAGAGTATGTTAGACAACAATATTATAAAATGTAGCCTTTAAGACAACAACAATCAAATTGTTGTCTATAAAAAAATATAAAAAGTTGATATTATAAAAACATTATATTAATACCTATTTAACAACATACTTTATTATAAATATTTGTTTTTGATGCATTGATTGGCCTCGGTGGAAGGTCCCCTTTACCTATCAAATATTCAAAATATACAGTATACTTTGTAGGAAAAATAGAAATCATAACATAAAACTCGTTAAGAGATAGAAATTAGACTATTATCCTCATCAATAAAAATAATAATAATAATCCTTTATCTTCAAAAATAAGTTAAAAAAACTCATATACTCGTAATAAGAGTTAAAACTAGACCTTTTATCTCCAAAAAAATTACTGTAAAAAAACTAAAGACAATCAATTATCCATTCTTCAAAACCGCGAAAATGGTGAATTATTTTTGGCTTTTCCCACTAAGAATCAATTACTCATAATTAACAATGTCATAAAAAAATTACTCATAACTAAAACCGCCAGAAAAAAAAAAAGCAACGCCAAAAAAAAATGCTCTTCAAATCACGAGTTCACAGGAAAGAAAGAAAAAAACAGCAAACATAAAAAGTTAAAAACAAAACAGCGAAGCAAGAAACGCTTCTCTCTCTTCAATTATTTCAAAACAGCGCTGTATGGGTAATCCGCCACTGCCAGCCACCACTGCTGTCGGTCTGCCAGCCTGCCGCCGCACCTTCCGGCCACCGCACGTTCGCACTAACCACCGCACTCCAATCTCCAGCCACCGCACAACCGCACTCTAAATAAGTTAATTCCATATTCATACTTAAATATTGATTTTTAAGTTTTTAATTTCTTATTACATGAGTTGTTAGGTTGATTTTGTGCTTAAATTAGTTGTTTATCTTATTTAATTTATCAAATTAGTGTGGATGTTGGTTGAAATTGATGATTTGTTATTTAATTTATAAAATTATAGCGTTAGGGTTTCTTCGTCCGAGTTGGAGTTCGCGTCTGCTAGTTAGAGACTTGGAGTTCCAGTTCGCGTCTGCAGGCCTGCTAGTTGGAGTTCCAGTTCGCGTCTTCGTTCAATCGTTCGACGATTGGAGTTCGCTGTTGGCTTTTCGCGTCTTCTACTCTTCCGGTCTTCGACTCTTCGCTAGACCCAATTCACCCAAATCACCAAATGGTATGTAAATCTGAATTTAATCTCTGAATTATTAGTTTATTACTTGTTTAATTGTTTTATAGTTTATACTTTTATTGTGGATTTGTGGGTATTGAAGATTTTAAGTATTGAACTATTGAAAATATACAGGTTCATGATTCAAATTACTTGCTTTACTGATAAGAGAGTATCTTTTGCTACAAATAACACTTAAGACTTAACTTAAGTATCAATCAGATAAACAGCTTCGTAACCCACTTTTTACAGAGTTGTACAAGCTAATTTAACAAGAAACTCAGATTATTAATTGATAAATTACAGCTTGTACTTGTAATATTTATGTGGGTTGTACTTGTGGTTTTTTTAATCTAGGTAGCTTGATACTAATCAATGAGCTAGAGTGCTATTTATTTCCTCTAATACGAGCAGTTTGGAACGGAGCCTAACCTTTAATTTGACCAATTGGTAAGTGATGCTTAATATAATATTCTCATAGCCTCTTTCAAAGTTGATTAATTTGCTTAGTATTATATTGTGATTCTTTTGTGAGGTAATCTGCTTAAGATTTGCTTCAAGGATGATGGACACCCTGGTTTGTTTTTCTAATTGTCATCACTCAGCTTCTCTAGCTTGGTTGTAAGTTCTTATTACCTCTAAGTTGTAAGTTCTCAGTTCGGACCTAATGATTTGTTGGCTATAATTTACTTCGTATTGTTTTAGCACCTCTATTCAGTTTTAGTGTATATACTTACCTTCGCCGTTTTCGTGAAACCTGACATATGCTTTTTAAAATTCAAGTAGGTTTGAATTGCCTATTATTTAGACTTATGAAATTAAAGGTCTTGAGCATGTGAGGGTGGAAAGGATTCAAGCCTTAGGATACTGTTTAGTTGCATTAGAGCAAATAGGGGTTTAAGCAGGTTTATCATGAGAACATTTAATGGATTGGTAATAAATCAGAGTTTTAATGATGCTTAATTGATAGCTATTTTTATGTTTAAGACATCAAGGTAATTAACAAGTTATATTTTCAATTTATAAACCAAAAGCTATAAACACATTATCCAGTTGATTCAACCAACAACCTCAAATTATTAGTTGCATCCATTTGAGAATGTGTCTACATTCCTGTTTTAATTTAGCTCACACTTAATAAAATTTGATTTCCTTTTTAACTTAACATTTCCCTTTTATAATGAGCTATCTAGATTAAAATGCATTATACCAAGATTAGTCTTACAACATAGGATCATTAAAAGCAATTTAATTATATTAGAGGTTAGGGTAATTCCTTAAGCCTTAACCTGTTTCTAGGTTGCTGCCACTACTTGCAGACTGCTGCTGTTACCTTACCTATTGCTGGCATACTGCTGTTGCTGCTACCGCTGTTGGTAGCCTGCTGCTGGCGTTGATAACAGGGCAGATAGGCTGCTAACAGGTCATGCTGTTGTCATTGCCGTTGTTAAAAAAAAAAAACTTTATGAATTGAAAACATGGATTTGGAGTATGTATGTCCTATTAAATGTTTAGCATCAAGATATATTTTGAATAATTTGTATGTTTAGTGGTGCAGTGGTGTAGGTAAGGGGTAAGGAAGAGGAACAGTGTGCAGGGATGGGGCATGGAGAGGAGTCATATACAGGGAACAATATTGATTGCAACTTGAAATTATCTAAACTGAAAGTTTTTAAAGGTTAAAAGAATAAGCCATAGTCTATTTTAATAAGAAAAGGGATTTCAAAGACCCTTTAAATTTTTAGAAATAACGTTTTCATCTCAATGATCGATGTCAGTGTAAAAAACAAGATGAGTTACAAAAGTAGCTAAATTACACCTTTATAAGATTGAAATTCAAACTAAAATTGTTTCACTATAACTAGTTATGATTTATTTTGAAAATGAAAGTCAATCGACAAAAATAGATGAGTGTGTCAATTAAAGATTGAAGTTAGTAGCCTTAGCAAAATGGTATGGTAGTATTCTAGTACCAAATAGTCTTCTAAAGAGTAGATCACTATTGTATAGCCTAAGATGTGAACATTTTTTTTATTGCTGCGTTTATTTTAAGTTGTCTACTTATAAAATTGAACTAAATATTATTACTTATAGTTAAAAATCTTCTAGCTGTTGATCTTGTAGCTATAAATCTTTAGAATGGATATTTATAGAAAGAGGTCAGAGTGAATGAAAAGTAATATGTAATTAGTGATTTATATATAGAGAGCTAATTAGTTACTTTGTTTTCATTGTTTTGATTTCTTTCCTTTTTTTTTTTTGGGGGGGGGGGTTGTATGTGTGTGTGTGTTCTGCCATTTGATGGTTCTTGTGACTGGCTGTGATGATGGAATTAATAAGCTGCTTTGATGGTTTGATTATGAATCTGGTAGGTAAAGGGTGGGTAAATTAATTAGGATCAACAAAATAACTCACTTTATATAATAATTAGGAGCAACAATCAAAATCTTGTCGTCTTTCGAGCTACCCACAAAAATGATTTCCTAGATTATTCTAGATACAAGTCATACAACTACCTTACTTCTTTGTATCAAGAATGTATTAATATACCTGTAAGGCTGCACATCACTACTATTTTTACAAGGGTGCACTTTCAAGTTCTAAAGGATATCTATTTCTAACATGTAACAATGCACTCTAGACAATAAATTGATCGTATTTCATAGGGTAATCATAGTGTAATAGACTTTGATTTCCCCGTCTTCCTTACCAAGGTTTATCTTAGTTTGTGAAAGTGTCTGAAAGATCATAATGTACAATGTACATAGATTATTTTCCACCGTCCAATTTCTCCACTCTACTTTGCCTCTCATGTCCAGTAAACTTAGTTGGAAGTTTATCTTTTACTACAACTTTAATAAGGTAAGTTATAAGATTAATTGTTTGGCTATACCATTAAACATATGACAAATAATTTCTATTTTTTCTATTGTTTCATTATGTATTTTATCTCACTATCCCTCCAATCTTTTTTGTTGTTCTTTCCACTTTGACTTTTTTTTTTGTCTCTGGAGTAGAAGAGAAAATAGAATTGGAGGGAGTATTATTTACTCTTTATTTTCCTAATCTATGCATGGTGAATATTTGATGTATTACATTACTAACTAGTGTTCGTCTATTTCCTTCCTTTGGTCTTGGATGAATGTAAAAATTGCTTTATGAATCTTGATATTTGTATGTTTTGCTTGCCATACTAGTCAAACGTTTTAATTCTATATCTTTGCTTAGAATTTCAATTATTTTTCTTAGTTTTTGAAAAATTATTATTCTAACTTTGTTATTTGATTAGTAATACAGGGTGTACAAGTACATTGAAGAAGATATATATTAAAGACAAAAACGAAGAGTTGATCTACTAGCATCTCTTTGAGGGTTACATCCCTTCCCCCATGTACAGAATTAGATATAAACAAATATACATTTAGTGTTATTAGAAATTTACTAGCTTAGATTGTGAATTGCAAGTTATTTAGTATTTTTATGAGTATTTGTAGTAAAATTTTATTGGATATTGTTTTTTGGATTTTAATGAGTGACATGAATTTTGTTATAAAATCAAGTTTCTTCTACATTGATGTTCAGCTTCCTATTAAACCGATTATTGTGTATTGTTGAGTTCACATGTTTAATCATCTTTGCTCATTTAATTATAATTTTATATATAATCGCTTTAATGGTGTTGCCTTAAGATATTTGGCAACACTTTTGTATTATTACTAGCTAATACATCAACTGAAAAGGTTGTTGCATAATATGATATAAGGTTACAATTTCAAATTGTCTCCTTAGGTGGCAACAGTTTTCATTTGTTGCCTTTATAAAAATGTTGCCTTAAGTATCATTATACCTTGGCCTTTAAAATTGTTGCTTTTGAACTAAAATGTGTTGCCTTATGAATAGACAACGGGGGCATAAACTACGCCTCATATGTGTTGCCTTAGCTACAAGGCAACACTTTTTTCATATTCGGCAATGGTTTTTCAATGTTATCTTTGCTTTATTTTGTTGTAGTGTTTGTAAATTAAAGCTCTTCATCTCTAATTTACTGATCTATGTAACTCCTCTTATCTTGGAGGAATCTCCTATGTCATATTCGCGGTTTTTTTAGAAAAAAACCCAGGAATGTCCTCGCTTGCTGGGATGCACCTGCATTTATATCTTTGACTATAGGACTTTGCTTATTTCTTTAATTATCTTAGGGTTGACCTAAGGTTTAGTGTTGCTTGACTTATTGACTTGACATGACTCAAGGTATAAACTTGACTTAATGGTGACTCACTTCGTGTGACTCGTGTGTGCATAGACTTAACTCGATCTGATAACACGACATGACTCAATGTGTACATGACTCGTGTGTGGATTGCAATGTGATCGTGCGACTCAAAAATGAAAAAAAGCAAAAAAATTCCGTCATTTTTGTGGAGGGTACCGACTTTCTCCCGAAAAAGAAAGACACGAAAAAGAATCGAAGTGAACTTTTTTGAAAGTGCATGTTGAATGAGCTTAGTCAAATGTTGTTGATACTATCTCTCAAGGTGCAAGGATTAATCTATTCTAGGCTATCTTAGTTGACTCAATAATGAAAGTATTTAAGTAACTTAGGCACGGAGGCTAAGCACTTCATACTTTGTGATTCAATGACGATTATGATTAATGAGTGATGTTGATATGACAAGGCGTGCTTCAACGTTGTGTTAAGATTTCCTGACAAAGGGTTCCTAAGGGAAAGCATATTTGGTCATGTATATGTGCAGTGTGTGAAAATGACACTAAGGTTAGGCCACAAGAGCTAAGTGTGTGGAAAGATATTATTTTTAAAAGAGTCAAATAATGGTGACTCTTAGGCTAGGTAGGCTAATGATGTAAGGATCAAGCCCCCAAGTCTAGCTCTAAATGAATAGGGATGAGCATAGGGGATCCCTTGATATGATCATTTGTGAATGTAAATATAAATTCATGTTTATTACGGTCGCACCTCGATGTGAGGTTGCCTACGTATCCGTTAGGAATCAGGCCGAACGTAGCTCTAGCCGAACCTCGCACAAGTATGTGTATACCTCAAAAAGGTCCTTTTAAGGGTTGTAACGTGGTTAGGCTAAATGTTGAAGAAGAAGGGGATAAAAGGCTCAAGACCTTAAATAAGCCCCCAAGGTGTGCAACTTTGCTTTTGGAATATTTGTATTTTTATGCTTGAGGCTTTCTACTCTTTTTAGCTCTCTCTTTTGCTTTAGCATTTATTTTATTTTTATAAGTGTGGGCAATCCCGATCATGCGGTCTATCACTCACTTGGCATTCATGTTTCTCAGGCAAGGTACCGAGCACTTGATAAGAGACACAATCTGAGACGTATTCTTATTAAAGATATTTTCATATCAAAGACATTGGAACACTTACCCTTTTGTACACTTTTATTTATTTAGTTTTCTTATTCTTTTCTATTTTAATCTTTTGAAGTCACTCAAGCTTTTTATGAAATTGAAAATTGCATAAGTTGCACACCATCCCATCCCAAGGTTAGGTAGTTGTGGGTTGAAGAAAGAAAGGTCTATCGTTAGACGAGGCTCTAAGCGGTTTATCAAAAAGGATTGTAAATTAGAAGGGTGAAAGGCAATATGATGTGGCTACAAGGGGTGCCTCAAATCATTGGTATACCTTGTGCTTAGTTCGGCATAGATTTTTTTTATTTATTTTTATTTTTTATTTTTTTTAATGCGATGTAATGAAACAATCATATGCAAGAAAATAAATGCTTATTTTATTTAAAAAAGTGAAGGGTAAAATTCAAACTCTAAGAAATAAATTCAAGGAGGATGAAGGGTGTCTATGCTCGACTTATTGGGGAAGGGTTTGAAAAAAAGAAGAAGAATGCATGAAATCTTGGTGAGAAGCTTGCCTTGTGCATTTGTTTCATCATTACCCTCATTTTTTTTGTTTGTCAATTACATGAATCAAACCCGATTCAACATGCATGGATGGAAGAAGGTAGGAAGAATGAAGGTTGTGATATAGAGAAAGCAGGTAGAGAATGGAAAGATTATGTAGATGGAGAGATATGAAAAAATTAGGAATATAATGTACCCCCAACTCAAATGACGGAAAAAACCGACTCATGCATGAACCTAAGACATGGTCATGGTAATATATACAAAGTGTGTGCTAAGACTAGTGAGTGTAGGTGACATGCTAAGACTTGTGTCATGACCATGTGGCTAGACTATGTGACTAGACTCAAGCAAAGACTAAGTTAAGACCTCACATATATGCATTAAACTGGACAGGCTGTGGTATTTTAGTCATAACGTTTGATCTGTGACTCTGATTGGGTTGAAACCAACAAAACTCGGGGCTACAGATCCATAGGTTGTAGGACTCGTAGTTCTTCCTAGAACTCCGGATATGACCAAAACAAGTTGACGCTTGTGCAGTATATGGGAATAAAAATCCGGGTTGACTTAAAGAGACTATGACTCGATTTTAGACATATTTATTAGGTCAAATTAATTAATTAAATAATTAAGCAAAGTCCTTTAGTCATTAATTAGTTTATTTAGGCTTAATCACAATTCAAACCAAACGGTTAGTTTAGTCACATAATAAGTATGCACAAGTAAGAGATGCACAAGTAGTCAAGTAGTCACAACATGAAGTAATGAATTTGCAACCTAACCATGGCTCTAGTTCTCTAAAGTTCGGGATATGGGTTAGTCAAAGAGGGTCCATGGTTAATTTCCCGGATGCACCGTGCGGAAGCCTAACCGTGAATGGGACACCGCGAGTTTAAAAAAAACTCGCTTCCATGGTTTGGTGAATTCAACATTCTCGGATGTACCCTTTGTTGCATAGAGCGTTCAATCAGGTAGATGGAGCATGAATTCCTAAAGGGTTATGTCCATATGTAGAACACATATGGGTTTCAGAAAAGTGAGAAAAACTCAATCTGGAAGTAGGATCGAGCAAACAGTGCTAAAAACTGGTCAAAATTAGAACGCATATTTTTGGCTCGGTGTTGGAAGAACTTGGCGCCAGCAAACAAAGGCCGGCGCCACAATTTGGATTTGGCGCTTGGTGACAAAAGCTGTCGCCTGGCGCTAAAGTCAAATAAGTGGCGCTAAACTCTATTTTCTGACGCTAGTTCCTACATGCCTCAGCAGCTTTCTGTGCTCGATATAATTTTCCAGTTTCGCGTAGCATTATTTCGGTCCTAGTTGTGAAAGATATTCCTCAAATTTCCTACGTGTAAAAAATACTATGTTTTAACTCATTACGGATGGTCTTTCCAATGAGATCTTTTTAATGCAAATGATAATAATGTTAATCAAAATTACGCACATGAAATACTTAGAACATTTCGATTCTCATCCACTCATTCTAAATCATTGCCGAAATAAATTTCAGGAATTAAAATAGAAATCCTCCCCAGTGGAGTCGCCAAAAGATGTAGGGAATATTTCAAGCATTATCCCTAGCTTGAACCCCACTGTGATCATACACTAAAGTACGGTGGCGTCCAAAGGGAAAGAAGATAGATCAAAAGAGTCGCCAACAAGTTTTAGGAACTTGTAAACCGTTCACGAGGTGAAGGTTACACCCCTTAACGATCCAGGAGATCGTCAACTCCAATAGGTCTGGAACCATGACTGGTAGTTCGGGGATGAAGGTACAAATCCAACCTAAAAGAGATTGAACCTACCCTAATAATAGGCCTGTACTTTATTCTTCTCGTATTCATGTGCGTTTTCTGACTAACATACAATCAACAAGCTTAATCTTAGACCTGTTTATCTATGTTGGTTGAATATTAATGCACAAATAAATCTATTATTGCGATTACTTGAATTATAATCAAATTAACCCTAAACAAGATTATTAATTATCTTATTTAGCATGATTACAAGTACCAATTCCCTTCAAACATGCATAAAAGGCGTGATCAAGCAATAACAATCAATATCAAGCAACATAATAATCATTATAACCATAAATTATAACAATTATAATCATAATTAAGATAATCATGTTAAAGCATAATAATAGCAAGACCCTAGGCATGATACTAACAAGATCAATAACAAAACCTAGCATGCCACTAAGCAATAAAAATCAAAGCTTTAACCCTAACATTATACTAACATGCTATTAGGAAGAAAATAGGAAGCATCGCTGGAAACACAATTGTCATATTTGATATTAGAAATTATAGTTGTTACCCTAAACATAATACTAGGAAGATTAAAACGCCCTTACATGACATTAGGAATCATAATAACAACCTAAACATGATTTCTATATCATAACATCAATAAATCAATTAAAGTACTTACTTGGATGCCTCGTATCTCTTTCTAATAACAAAATACACGAGTTAGTAACTTTAAAGAAAATAATAAAACAAAACAATTAAATTAAATTAAATAATTGAAATAGAGATTTGGGACCAAACCATCAGAAATTAAAACCTTTCACGTTTAGGCGAAGGCAACTTTGAATTGTGCTAGGTGTATCTAGATCTTATGAATGCGGAATTTTGTATGCAAAAGGGTTGGTTTAGAATAAGAGAGAGAATAAGCTTTAGCTAAGAGAGAGAAGAGAATTGAAAACTAGAGAGTTAGTGATTGAAAACGGAAGTTTTGGGAGGCTATTTATAGAGAAATTCAGCCAAACGGATAGAAAAAACAAATCAT